GCTCCACCTCACACAGAAATACTGCTTTAGGCAGGGTTTCAATTAGGGAATAAAATTATAACATAATAAAAACCTAATTGAAAATGTGATTTTACCTAATAGCTGACTGGGATAAAGTTATATCACATAAAATAAAATTTAAGCATCTTATTATATGTGCAAATCTGGTAGAAGCAAGACCCAAAAGGTGGATTAAAAGGTTTACAAAGAAATTTTGGGAGTCTGAATAGTGATGCATAATGCACCGAAAAGTTCCAGGGGTATGAATAAATTGGTAAGACCTGTTTGGTACTTTTAGAAACTGTAGGATTAGGTTCCTTTACCAAATGGTTATTTCATGAAATTTTTCAATTTAGGCTCAGTTACGTTTTGCAAGATGTAAATAAATGATTTTGAAATTGGACAAAAAGAGAAAATCTTCAATGTGTAAAAGATAGAAAAGTCTGAGTGTTCAGGGAGTACAGAGATGAAAGAAAACAGAACTATTAAATAATGGATTTATATTAATTGTGGGACCAAAATAACCAAAAAATATTCAATATAGCAAAATAAAGAATTTTCACAAAGTAGTTTATTGTTTAAGCACTGAAGACTTAAAAGGGCAATAATTCTACTAATTGAGTCCTTTGAACTTTTGCTTTTAAAATTTAGACTTTGAGACAGCTGTCTGCTAATGGTGACAGGTTCTATCATGACGAGTTTCACTGAAGCCCTTCACATGAGCCCAATAAGGTAGGGTGCCAGAGTCTGGACTAAATTCCTAAGTTGTGCGAGTGTTAGCTGACTGGTGACGGCCCAGATAACAAGGTTTAAAGATAGATAGAGGGTAAAGCGGTGGGAAGAAAGAAGGGAGCAGATATGAGAAGGATCAAGGCTATCACTTATTTCTATGCAGACAAAGTGAAAAGGTGTGAAAAAGTAAATAGTGAATTACGGATTTTAAAAAATCTAATAAAATGAAACACTTTGCTGACCTTTACTCTCTGTTAATGTTTACACTGTTCTATGAAGATCCAGAGAAGGTCAGTGTGTAGACAGAGCTTCATAGGAAGCAAATTTCTCACCGCCCCTGCTGCTGGCAATGGTTTAATTTAATATAAGAGCAAAATAATTGGCTACTCATGTTTATTTCTACTGAAGTCAACACTTAATATTCCAGATCTCACAGATCTGGCTGCTCAACTTTTCTTCAGGCACCTGATAACATTATTTTATTCCAAAGACCTTCATAACCTCAAAAATATAAATTAATATATTGAATATAATGTTTAAATTAAACACTGCATCAGTAAATGTCTCCATATATTCTCTGTATATTTTCTACCCTTTTGCTTTAGTGTTTGAACAGAGCAGATATTCTGCTGTTTTTGTTCTTATAGCCCAAATAGCCCAACATGCAGGATTTCATTTATCTTTTTGCCATAGGAATTGAAAAACTACAAAGTTCTTAATGTTCCAGGTCTGCTTTTTGGAGCTAGATTGTGCAACGTGGCGTACTATCCTCTTACTCATACAGTCAGACAGCTGCTGCAGCTCGGATTAGCAGTCTTTTTTCTCAGTTGCTCATCTTCCTGAACTGCCTAACAGCTTTAGAGTCCCACAATCATGTTTGTTTTCTCTCCATGTGGTTCTACAAATGAAAACATGGTCTTGAGTGAAATTTCCAGTCTTTATAGTATGTTTTATTTTTTTTATTTGGTTGTCAAATTGTTGCAAAGGTACCACTTGGGGCTTTTGCCTTGCTCTCATATGAGTTGTATGGTAAATATCATCCTTTGAATTACAGTCACTAAATATAAACAGGAAATCTAGATCTTTAGATATTCAGAAATATTGCAAAAGCCAAGTTGAGATTTTAAATTCATTTTAAATAGCAGCACCAACCTTTTTAGGCCCATCACATTACTTGATGCTACCACTGACATGTTACCCCATGGGGATGGGGTGTTCTAGGAATCGTTTTTTTCTTTTTAAATAAATAAAGTTTTAGGTAATCAATAAAAACCTAACAGCAACAGAAATAGATAATAAATCAAAGACTCTTTTCCATACATGTATGGAAAACTACACAGACAGTATTGGGAGCAAGATGTAACCTCATAGTCTGCCATTTCTTTCAATGTATTTGTCTCACAGTTTTATTCGTCTACTCTTCAGCTGTTCAGACCCCTCCTTTTGTGAGCCCACCTGGCATTAGAGATGTAGTCTGTCCAGCAGAGTGTGCTTGCCCCCTCCGTCTCTATCATTCATTGTCCATTTTTGGACGCTACTGTGAGGGGTGGGGTTCTGTGGGGGCAAAGCAGATGTCACAGTCGAGGATGAATGGTGCCCTGAAGGGACAGAGACATAACCGGTGCAACCTTAATACCCAGGGGACCCTCAGAGACAAGCAGGCCAGGGATACGTTTCAAAGAGGAATACAGTTTGCGTTCTGTTTTTTTTTTTTTTGAGGATTAGAAACACACTTGAAATCAAATTGTTTTTGTGTAGTTTCCACATTTTCTGCAAATATATTTGTTCCAAAAAGCTGCCGAAGATCCAACTTCACTATTTTCTTAATTTAAAAAGCTGCTAAATGTCCCTGTTCCTCCCTGTGCTGAGGATGCAGCTCTGCTTCCGACAAAAAAAAAAAAAATAAATTAAAATGTGCAGCACCACAAATAGACACAAAACCTTCCAGAGTGGGTGCATTTGCAGTAAGCTGTGTGACTTATTCATCTCAAGCATTGCTTTTGTCCCTTAAGCAGAGGAGTATAAACACATACACACTGCAGGAGGGCTTAACCCTTCTATCTTGCTGATTATGAAGCAGGTCCCAGATGTCTGCCACCCTCTGTTAGCCCATGTACACGCTCACACTGTCACTCATCAGGGCTTTGTTCCCAGTCGGCTACATATTGCTTTTCAATTCACGTAAACATTTACACCAACTTTCAGAAAGGGCCAGGAAACACAACAAACTCTTTCTGCTTCGCAAATGATGCATTTAACCTGACACTATTATCAGATGTATAATGCTTTATTATTCTATGAAAATCAGCCACACCTACTGGGACTTTCTGGTAAGTTGAACAATAAAGGATGAGCTCTGTTGCCATGGGAGTTAGGAGCCAGGGCAGAAAATATTACCGTAGTGTTTCATCACACTCAGCGACGTTCTTGGAGGACAATTCAGTGCCACATAAGAACCAAAACAAAGTGAATATTTAAGCAGAGTGCAATTGCAAAGGTATTTTTACCTT